GGGGCCAGCAAGTGCCCCAGCCCGTGCGGGCCAGCCACAGGGCGCTCAGCTCCCATGGGCGGTGCAAGGAGAGGCTGAGGCAGGCCCTGGCTGGACTCGTTCACCCTCAGTGCATCTCCAGACCCTAGCAGCTCACGGGGACTCCGCAGCCCCCAAGTCCAAGGTGAAGCCTGGACGCTGATTACAGTGTGACTCAGTGAATTGTCAAACATTAACCCAGGGCAGGGCAGGGCAGGCGGGCGCCCCAGCCGGGGTGCGTCCCTGCAGCCGGAGAGGCCGTAGCATGCGAGGTGGGACGCGCCGGGAGCATCAGGTGGGGGAGCAAGGCGGCAGGTGGCTGAGGGAGCGTGCCCGTGTGCCGGGGCGTAGGGCCTGAGACTGGAGCGAACCCAGGAGAGTGCGGCCAGTCTAGGGGAGGTGGCCAGCTCTGAGGTGGGCTTCCTCGGGGCGGAGATGGGTGAGGCCCCACCTGCTAATGCGCTGAAGGCCAGAGCCAGTGGGGTGGGTTGTGCCCCTCCCTGGTTAATAGCAGGCTCTGCCCCAGGCAAGGCTGAGCCAAGCCCAGGTCCCAGCCCCCTTTGCCGTACACGGCTGAGTGCCCCGAAGAAACCCCTGCCGGCCACCCAAGCTCCAGCCTGCTCTCTCCTCAGCGCCTGCCCGCAGCCCCCTCGCACTCCACTGCACACACCCCGCCCAGCCCCGTACCTGAGGGTGTGCGGCCATGCTCCAGCTGAGGTCCCCAGAAGCTGTGCAGAAGGCGAGGGCTGCCCTGAGCAGCCCTGTCAGAGCAGGGTGGGGAAGTGGTGACATTTGAAAAGGAGAAGTGCAGCCTGGGCTTGTGCAAGTGAGTCAGTGAACCGGGCGTGGCCCCGGGGCCCGCCTCTGGCCCCCCTCGCCAATGGCAAACGGCGCAGACATGCAAATCCCCATGAGCCGGACAGCTCTGCTCCACAGCGGGGAAGCGGCCTGAGGCACCCAGCTGCAGCTGTTGCCGTGCCTGGGAGCCAGCACCCCGGAGCTGCAGACGGAGGGAGTGGGACTGAGCGTGCACAGGGAGGGGATGGGGAATGTGCACAATGCACCAGGCCCCCAAGCCACGTGCAAGCACCGCGCAAACCCAGGCCCAAAGCAGAGCTCCGGTCGCGGTACAGTGAGCACCTCCCACACCTCAGAGTTGCAGGACCCAGTCCGGGTGAAGTGGGGGGCTGTCTAGGCATGTCCGTGGGTGGCGATCTGAGAGCAGACCCCCTTTCCCTCTGGCTGGGCTCAGCTCCCTGTATCCAGCGTGGCTCTGGCTCGTAGTCGGGGCCAGGAGGTCTCATGGCCCTCGTGGAGCTTGCAGGGAGATGCTGACCCAGCTGGGGGAGAGCCCAGTGGGACCCCACCAGTGAGAGCCCTTCAGCCACTGCCCTGCTCTGCCCCGGGGATTGCTTGATGCGGGATCTGAAGCATCCCAGGGCGCAGCTCGCAGATAGGCCCAGCAGTTACCCACATGCCTCCTGCATCCCACTCGGACCCCCACTCTGCCCAGCAAGGCAGGTGTAAACACAGGCGGGAGGAGCTCCCACGGGGAGGCAGGGGCTCAAAGGCCAGGTGAGAGTCCTGCCAGGGCATTGGAGGAAGGGAAGGGGCAAGGACAAGAGTGAGGGGAGCAGAAACGGGCCTGGGCAAGGGGGCAGTACAAGCCCCCTCAGCGGGAGGGGCACGAATGCTGCAAAACGAATGAACGGGGGCAAATGCGCCGGCGTCCCAGCGAGTTGCTTTCTCGGGGCACAGAGGGAGCAGGAGGCCATGTCCACGCTGTTTGTGTGGGGCGGGGCCACGCAGCAGCTGGCCCGGGGTGCAAGGACTGGGGCGGGTGGGGGGAGGGTACCATCCTGCCTGAGAAGTCGGGTTTGGACAAACCACACAGCAGAGCGCGGCTCCCGCTGCCCCCGCGACAGCCCCAGCCCGTTCACGGCGGTCCAAGCCCCTGGAGCTGCCGCAGGGAGGGTGCTGGGGGGGGGTAGTGGCTTGGGCTGGACGGAAGCGGGGGCGGCCAAGGCGAGCTGGGTTGTGGAAGCCTGCTACTGTCGGTGTCAAGCCCATGCTCTTCACCGGGCTTCCGCTGCCGCAGCCGCCTCTGGGTACGTTGGGGCACCTGCCTCCGCCTTGGCTACTCCCCTTGCTGGCCGGCTGCGGCCCTCGGCTTCCCAAGCCTCGGTGCTGCGCTGTGGTACACGGCAAGCCACAGAGCCGGCCCTGGCCACAGGGCACCCCTCCGAGACACGGTAAGGGCTCCAGGCTCAATGTGCAGGTTTTAGAAGCGGGAGGGCAGGGCCCCCCACCTTTGGCTCCAGCACCAATCATTTGGGGTGACAAGTGCCCCCTTCACCCTCCCCAGCCCCCAGTAGTTCCAGCCAGTCCAGGGGACACTCCCCCAGCATCTTCTTTGTCCTTCCGCAGCCTGGGCTCCGCCAGCACATCCCAGCTCGGGGCCACATGGCCCAGCGGCTTCCTGACCCACAGCCTGCGGGTGCTGCCCTGAACCCAATGGGCAAAGCTCCCTGGAACTCAGAGCTGCTGGGGGCTAGGCTGAGCTCCGCAGCCTTGTCACTCTAGGACCTGCTGCCCCGCAGAGCTGTGCTAAGGCCACGCCTGTGGCTGCAGGGCCACTCCTTGCCGGGCTGAGCAGCAGGCAGCCCAGCTGCGTCTACCTGGCACCCAAGGACGACTTCTTCACCTGGGTTGGAAGGGCAGCAAAGACCCAGTAAGTGGCTTCTCCCTCAGCTTAGCGGCTCCCCTTCAGCCCAGGCTCCCGGGGAAGCAGACTGCGGCTGCAAACTGTCAGCCACCGAGTTAGCTGCAGTTTTTATTTCATTCGGCACTAACTGAGGAACATTCAGGCCTGTCCCCTAAGGCGTGGGCTCCTGCCGTCCACATAAGGGACAAGGCCCTTGAACAGTGGCACAGGTACATGGGCTCATGGTCCCGCCGAAGCTTCGGGGAACTGGGCACAGAACGCTGCAGGGAAGTTTGTGCACAGTGACACCAGGCAACCAGAGGAACATGAGCTAAAATCAGCGTGTCGATAGTTCAGGACAGGAACCTCTGCAGATGTCGGACCCCAAGCGTGCCCCGCCCTAGCAACCGACTGACTTACGGTAAATTGAGCTTGTTGATACACTAATCTAGAGGAGAACATTAGCAGGGGAAGGAAGTACAGAAGGAAGAGGGGAGAAACCTCGACTGAATATGCAGTAGAGAGGTGTCAGCATCACCCTTATAAAAGTTGCATCCCCGCTCGAGGGCAGGAGAGACACAGAGCCCCTTGGAGGTGCCAGGATGATGGCCATGGGAGGCGAGGAGGAGAACAGCCAACATTTCAGGCTGTTCTGCAAGCGATGGTGACTACAGTGGGGCCGGCTGTATTACCTCTGCCTACCTTGCTGGGGTACAGGGCCTGTATTAAAAGACTCTCAATGCAGGGGGCTCCTAAAGTGAGTTGCAGCTGAGCACCTCAGGGCTCCCAACTAACTGGTCATTTTAATAATGCCAGGCCCGATCTCGGGCCAAGAACCTGCCAAACCTCAGAGACACCTGGGAACCCTACGGCATCATGAACAGCTAATCTACAGCTGGGGCTACAAGACACAGGGCCGCTGCGAGAATGAGACTGGGCTTGGGAATGGGGCCCCCACAAGGGCCAGGAAAGGAGACGGGAATGGGGGATCGAAAGGAATCTCACATGTACTGGGCTTGCCTCAGTGGTGGGAGGCCAAGTATTGAGGCAGCAGAACTGACGAGCAGCAGACACGGGTAGGAGCAGATTGATCTGTGTGGGCTGGTAGGTTGCCCTCGGCAAACCCTGCCAGGCCAGTGGTCCAGAGGAACCTGCTGCAGCAGGGGAAGATCAGCACCTTCGGTTGTTAGGTCTTGGGGCCCAGGTATAAAGCTCTGAGATCTGGGCGCTGGCCGGGGCCAGAACGGCTTTCTCTGTCGCCCGCATACAGATTCCCAGAGTTGCCCCAGAGTCCTTTAGGCTCCAGAGCTTCCCACCTGTCTCTTCTGGAAAAGGGAGGGACCTTCAAAGGGCAGTAGATACCACCGCTCAAGCTGCTGAGTCCAGCGCACGCCAGCTCTTCCGGCCACCAGCCTGCCCTCCCCCACCAGCACGCTGGATTTCTTTCCCGTAGCCTGCCCGATGGCTTCCCACAGGGAGGACTCAGTGAAGAAGCAGAACTTGCTGGCTGGTGGTTCTACGTTGCAGCCCAGCCACCAAATGTTTATGACCAAACAAGTCCAGTCTCTTCGACTCCTTCCCTCCCCTTGGATGTCGCTGCTCCACGCCCCCTGCCTCTCCCACTCATCAGCTGCCCTCCCCACTCTGGACCCTGCAGGAGAGCGAGAGCAGAGGTGTCTGAAACCCTCAGAAGGGACCTGGAATTTCCTCTCTGCCCAGTTTGCGGCAGGAAGGTCTTCCGGAGCGTTTTGCCCTAGGCTGGGAGCAGCGACTCTGGGAGAGGCTTGGAGGCAGGCTGGATGCGCTACCGGTGGTCTTCCTGGGGGGTCGCAGCACTCTGATCTGGGCCGGCCAGTATTTTCTTTTCCCAGCTCAGCACCCCACGCACACACAATGGGGGTGGGGGGAGTGAGCAGACCAGTGCTTTACATTAAAGGGGCCACAACAAAATGGCCCCAGTGTTTTGGGTTTTTTTCTTTTTGCTCAACAAAAATGTTCCCGGCTCCAGGGGTCGCGAATGAACAAAGGTTGAGCATCACTCGTCTAAACAGCTAATGGGGTTCTCGGATGCACACACAGGGAAGTCTCGGGTAGGAGCAGAGAGGTGATTTTACCTCTATCCAGCACGGGTGGGACTGGCGCTGAGAGTCTGGCCAGTCTGGATGTCCACCCTTCAAGGAGGATGTTAAACTACAGAGGGTTCAAGGGGACTGATTAAAGGGGACATGCATTATGTGGAAGGTGCCAAGAGCTCAATACATTTAGCTGCCAAGGGTGAAAGGAGGACTCGTTTCCAGTCTGTGGGTACCTGCGCAGGGAGCTGGTATTTGATAAGGGGTGAGGTTCCATGATCAGAACCTACACGGTAATTCTAAGCACACGCTGCCCCCCTCTTACTGCATCAATTCCTCCACCTGAAAGTGTCCGAGTGTAGCGGCAGCACAACCCCTCTCAGGGCCATGGGTTGGCCTCCAGAAACACCAGAGCTGAAGAACTGCCTTCCTAAAGCAGGCAGAGGGTGGAAGTGCCAGGCCCCCGGGGAACACTGACCGCGTGCACTCAATCCCAGGCAGGAGCTCTGCAGGCTGCTAGAATGCCAACGTCAAGGGAGCAGACCAACAGCCTCCGTGGGGCAAACAGGCGACTCATTATTCCACAGCAACTCACGTCTCTAAGAAAAAGGCCTCGAACGTAGAAGATTCTGGCTTTATTGACTGGTGCAAATCTTAGAGTTCTAGATCATTGGAAATATTCACAAAGTACTCAGAAAACATCGAGTTGGCGCTCCGAGGCAGGGCGAGCTGTCAGCCTGCAGCGTGGGCCTCCCACGCATGACAATGCCCCCCAGCCCGGCAGGTCTTGGAGGAGGGGCTCAATCTTCATGGATGTTGAAGAGCTTCGCTACTTCGTTGAGGTCAGTGTGCTCCTCTCCATCCTTAATGATCTGAGGAGACAGGAGAGGGCGTTGAGGGCCATGCACACTCTGTATGTTGATCCCACACGAGTCACTAACTGCCAATAGAGGGTTTTTTGCACTTCCTCTGAACCAGCTCTTACAGGCCACTGCTGGAAACGGGATAACCAGGATAGATGGGCCACTGGTCTGGCACGGCCAGACAATCCCTCCGATCCACATGCGATGTTATCTGATCTACAGATCACTGCTGCAATCACTGTCACGTTTGCAACAAACCTGGTACAAAGCCTCATGTCCCTAGAAAAGTGAAGGTTTACTGAACAGGATTATGCCGGGTGTACGCAGGTATCGTTTTGGTATCCGATGATATAAATGTTGGCTATGTACCTGCATTTCAAAGGTCTGCTCCAGTAATACAAGTATTTAGCCAGCATATCTTGAAGGGACTGTTAAGTATTTCTTGACGAGCCACTTACTTTTAACTGACAGCGGACCATGGAAGACACCCATCTAAACGGAATGAACATCCCTCCGACGGTCCATCTGGCTCCAGGGGTAATGGCCACAGCTGTGACTAAGCAAAACTAGGCCTGGACATGCGACTCGTCCGTGTGACTCTCTACTCCATCTTTACCTGTAATTTCCACCGTAAAAGCCATGGGATTCCCGCCCCATGGCAGAGGCTATCCAAGGCCCTGGAAATACCTCCACTGTGCCACCTCCCTGCTCAAAACTCTGGACTATACCAACGGGAGCACTCGGACGAGGGCTGCCAATGATTTGGAAGCAGCCAGACATCTGACTTACGCCAGCAGTTTATTCCATCAGTGCCACAAGCCTGAGGCAAGAGCTTTGCAATGATTGTGTGTCTGAGTCCTCCAACCAATTTTAACTCTCTCTCTCTCTCTCTCTCTCTCTCTCTCTCTCTCTCTCTAAATCAATCTTTAGATGTTAGATATGAAAGGAGCAGCAACAGCATGATCTCTGGGTAAGATCTATTGGCTTGGGTGTGCCTCAGGAAACTACTTGTGTCTTCTTGTAGCTAGTGTGGTGAGACAGAAGTTTACTTTTGTGGCTGGTGTGGCAGACCTTATGGGAGACTAGCCGACAGCATTTTGGGGCGTAATTTCCCTCTCGTTCAGTAGCGAGAGCTGAATGTGGTGTTCTCAAGTTGTGACCCACGAAGGCAGGCTACACCATGTGAAAAGACAGGTCGCTAGCAAGTAAGGGATAAAGATGGGGTTACTCTCCCTACAAAATTAGGGTATCTACTTATTTTCTAGCTCACTTTAAAGACAGGACAAGTCATTCTATGGGAAGGTATATTAGATAGCAGTACTTAGCCACAATTTCCTACGACGATAATGTATTCTGCTGCTCTCGTGTGTAGGGAGGCTGCCAACACATACAACACACATGACACATGGTCAACTCAATTCCCCAATCATTCAGCAGTACGGGAGGAGCATCTGACCTTTCGCGCAATTGGCATCCTGTTGAAGATGTTCCATAGGACGATTCCCACCACCACTTTATCCCGTATGTAGAAGATGACCCCTTTGCCATAGTCTTCTCCTTGCTTTGGAACTTGAGGTGTTGAGGCAGAGCTGGCCGAGATGGTGACCTCAGAGGCTTCGGCTTCTGTTTCGCTTTCTGAGCGGATGCCAGTCCCTACAGCAAGAACACAGAGATGATTCACCGACGGACCATCACGCCAGAGGGCAGCTGTCAGTCTGCCAGGCAAAGCCTGGTGCAAGGGCTCTGGTTTGCCTATCCGGGCCATGCTAAGAGCTGTGATGTGGCAAAACACGATGCACCGCTGTAAAGGGGAGACATGTCCTAAGGCAGGGCAAGGCCATGACCCCAGCAGTGAAAACGTTACTTGGAAGGGCTCTCTCCTCCCAGAATTGTATTAGGCCATGCACAGGGAGTCCTTACTCATTTCTCCACACACCAAAGAAAGCAGCGGCCCAGAAGCAGCCACTGCTCCTGGTATGAACGTATTACATACCAGTGCTGCTGCAACAGGAAACAACAGAATTAGGAGGGCTTGGCCTACTTCCCTTTTGCAGTCTGTTGCCCGGCAAAACCCTTGTTGCAGAAGGAAACTGTCAGCTGTGTGCACAGGGAGTCCTTACTCATTTCTCCACACACCAAAGAAAGCAGCGGCCCAGAAGCAGCCACTGCTCCTGGTATGAACGTATTACATACCAGTGCTGCTGCAACAGGAAACAACAGAATTAGGAGGGCTTGGCCTACTTCCCTTTTGCAGTCTGTTGCCCGGCAAAACCCTTGTTGCAGAAGGAAACTGTCAGCTGTGTAGGAAACCAATTCAATGGGGTGAGTGTGTGTGTGTGGGGGGGGCTGCTCCAGCCCAGCCAGCCTAGAGTAGCCCCCCGCCCGGTGCAGCTGGGTTAGAGCGTCCCACTCCTGTGTTGGGCCCCATGGCAGACAGGGGGCTGCGCCAGCACCCCACAAGTTAACTGTAACCGGTAAGCCTCATCCATTAACTGGATGAACAGTCACACCCCTACATTCAGTTTCAGCAGAGAACATCTTGTGGGGTCTGGAATGCAAGTCAGGATCACACTAGTCATTAATGTCACTGAAGTGACGATACTATACAAGGGGCTCCGTTTCTGTACTCGAGATACGGTTAGAAACCCGCACACGGCACGGGACAAAAGCTACTTTTCCTGCAGACGGGAGGTAAGAAAGATGCAGCTCTCTGTGGCAGCACAAGCCAACACAATGGATGCCGATTTCATAAGGTTAAAGGTTAGCAAAGAGGTGATGTCAACTCTGAGCAGCTGGGCAGAGGCTGGCTACCACAGGGCAGCTCTGCAAGGGGACCAGTGCACATATCGCTACCCTGCAAGCCAAAGGGCTGGCGGAGCCCAGAGGAGGGTGCTGGGTGGCCAGCAGGCAGCTGTCAAGGCGCTGACACTGAGCCCAGCACAAGCAGATCTCTCCCATGCGGGAGAAGGGGGTAACAGGGCAGTTCTCAGTCCCAGGCACTCGGAGAACGCTCACAGCAGCATTCCCAGTATTGCTGCCCAACGATTTTATACCAAGACGAGCCGCTAAACTGACCCTACGCTGGCCCTCGGCTCCCAAAACCGTTGGTTGGAGCTCACCCCGGGAAGGCCCTGCAGCAAACCAGCCTGCCAGCTGGGGGAGGAGGGCTGGACACTGTTCCTGCATGAGGAGATCCAAGCTGTTTAGGTGGATAATGCTGCCCCCGATGCATAGATCACCGGCCTCTGAGCCTGAGCAGAGGAAGCCCAGCACGGACCAGAACTCACCCCCCAGGGCTGCTCCCTCCCAGACGGCGGGCAGCCAAACGGAGCGGCGTGGCCGCAAGAGCAGGTTTGTCCTGATGCTGCCTCGCCCTTCTGCCCGGGACAGCCCTCCCCGGAGACAGCCCCCCAGCCTCCAGCAACGCCGGTCCCTACCTGACTGCTCGGTGGCAGACCTGGGCGTGTCTCTTGCCGTTGCTTTAGCAAAAACCCCTACCGTGGGCAAACTGCTGTCTACCAGGCCAATGGCTTCGTAGCCGACGTCAGGCCCCAGGTCGCTCCTAGGAGTGAACACACACAGGCTGTTGCAGTGTCGCTCTGAAACCTTAGCCACAGCTCCGTTTCCGCCAAGCTACACGATGCCACACAATGCCCCATTCCTCCAACAGCTTGGTGCCAAGCGGGTTGCCTAGTGCTCCGAGTACAAGAGGTGCCGGCCGGCCCTTGGGGAGCTTTGGCTACAGAGCTCTCAGTGCAGACATTCAATGGACATAGGCTGCTTCGCGGTGGCTGATTCAACCATCCGATGGACATGACCCGGGGGGGCTGAGGGCGGCCTGGGGGGATAACCAGGGGGCCTGGCGTGGGGTAGCAGCAGGGGTCAGCCCCACTGTGCTCAATGCGGCTATGCTCCTGTGCCCACTGCGCCATGCTCCACTTCATCGCGGCAGCAGCAAGCAGAGTGTCAGGCCTGCGTCTCCCCCAAGAGATGCTGGACTCCGGGGGCAGGCTGGGGCCAGGGTGATGTGAAGCACAGCAGGCTGGGAGACGGCAGCGGAGCAGGCTGCTGCGTCGCTCCGGCTCGCAATGCCACGGCGTGCACGGGATGCTGGCCCCACGCCAGGCTCCTCGAGGAATCCTCCAGGCCACGTAGCTCGGGTGAGGGGGCTCCAAGAAAGGGATGCTCTAGGGGGAAGCAGGGGAAGGGGGTTGCCCCGGACCCTGCACTCCCCTTGGGAAGGCCCTGACCTTGTCCATAACTCATTTCCCCTGTTTAATGTGCAGTTAGTTAGTTCACTGCAGTATTAGCTACAAGCGTGGTCTTTGGTGATGGGTCTGGGCACACGTGGTTGCTCAAGGGACTGTCTGCGACTCCATGGCACTGTGGGAGTTCACAACTGCCTGGAAATCTATTGAAAGACCAGACAGCCAATTTGGGACTGTGCCGCTCCGGGAGAGTCTGCCTGAGGCTGGCACGCACGCTGGAGAGCCCTCCGGACAGTGGGACAAAAGGGAGAAAGAGGGAATAAAACTACCAGAACATTGACTGATGCCAATATGGCTTAGCAGCTCCTGTCATGTTTTCTCCAGCTAATCTTCCACTCACAACAGCGTGATCGTGATGCTCTACGCGTCTTCGGCCCAGCTTGATATCGTAGAAGCAGGCGGCATCTCCGGCCTTAGAGAGAGATGCACACAATGAACACCGGCCAAGAGAGGCGGCCAGTGAAAGAGAAAATGAACGATGGGCGAGACTGCCCAGCCCGAAAGGGGCTGCAGGAGAATCTCCAATTTAGCAGGTCTCCATGGCTTCAGCGTTTCTGCCAGGCTAGGGGAAGTGAGGTAGTTTTGGAGTCACACTGATGAGAAGTTTTGGATTCCCTGCCAAAGGCGGCTCCCCTGGCAGTAGAACCATAGAGATCACTAGAACTGGAAGGGACCTTGAGGTCATCATGTCCAGCTCTCTGCCCGCATGGAAGGACCCAGCACTGTCTAGAGCATCCCTGACAGGTGTCTGTCCAACCTGCTCTTCAATATCTCCAGGGATGGAGATTCCACAACCTCCCTGGGCAACTTATTCCAGAGTTTCACCACCCTGACAGTTGGGACGTTTTTCCTCATGTCCAACCTAAACCTCCCTTGCTGCAGTTTAAGCCCCTTGCTTCTTGTCCTGTCCTTGGAGGCCTAGGAGAACAATTCCCACCCACCTCTCCCTATGACGCCCTTTTAGATACCTGAAAACCACTATAATGTCTCCCTCAGTCTTCTCTTTTCCAAACTAAACAAGCCCAATTCCTTCAAGCCTTTGCCTCCTAGCTCATGTTCTCTAGACCTTGAATCATTCTTGTTGCTTTTCTCTGGACCTTCCCCAATTTCTCCACCTCTTTCTTGAAATGCGGTGTCCAGAACTGGACACAACACTCCAACTGAGGCTTAATCAGCCAGAGTAGAGCGGAAGAATGACTCCTCGGGTCTTGCTCACAACACTCCTGTTAATGCAGCCCACGATCAGGTTTGCTTTTTTTGCAAGTGTAACACTGTTGACTCATATTTAGCTTGTGGTCCACTCTGACCCTCTGATCCCTTTCTGCATTAGTCCTTCCTAGACAGTCACTTTCCATTCTGTGTGTGAGACGGATTGTTCCTTCCTAAGTGGACCACTTTACATTTGTCCTTATTCAACTTCATCCTAGTAGGCGAAGGGGCGGTGGGGTTCCTGGGATAGACAAACTCCTTGTGCCAGGCCCAAGGTGGCTTTGTGGCCAGGATGCTGCTGCTGTCTACGGCCTATGACCACAAGTCGGCCATTCACCGTCACTGGGCTTGCAGCAGTGCTCTGCACAAGCTCACTCACTGCGACAGAGCAGCTCAAGAAGCCTCTCCCCCGCCGCACTTACCACCCAGATGTTGGAGCGTGCTTGCAGCTCCGCGTTCACCCGGAAGCCTCCAAAATCAGAGTCTACCTCCAGGCCAGAGGACTTGGCCAACTCCACGTTGGGCTCCAAGCCCACGGCTGCCACTATGTGATCGGTCACCACCTGACAGAGAAGGGAGGTCAGACACGTTTTCAGAGACAATCGCTTAGTTTTTGGCAAGGTCCAAGTTTCTTGGTCAAGGCAGAGTCTGGACCTTGGTGCCAGAGAACATAACAGTAAACCCAACAATGATAGTCATAAGATAACAGGGTCCATTCAAAAAGTGTCTGGTGGTCGGATTTGGCCCATGGTCTGCCCACTGACTACTACCCCTGCACAAATGGCTCTTCCTACACACGGCCACACGTCTGGTTTGCTACCTGCTGCAGGCATTTACCTTCCTTCCATCCTTCAGTTTGATGTTCAGTCGGTTTCCGCAGACACAGACGGACTTCACCACAGCGTTGGGCATGACGTTAACACCCTCTGGAAACGAAACACAGAACACTTCAACTGGAGGCCGGGAGCAGAGACTTCAGTGGAAGCCAAAGCGTGTGGTGGAGAGGTGCAAGCAATGCATCACTTCTTGATTGTACCAGGCGGAATTATGAATGTCTAAGAAGCCGAGGGAGGTGGCTTCTCTTTGGCGGCACACAGGAGCCACCGCGTCCAGGGGAAAGTGTGAACAGAAAGGAAACCGATGACTGTAGAGCTTCAGAGTTACAAACACCAGAGTTATGAACTGAATGGTCAACCACACCCCGCATTTGGAGCCGGAAGCACACAACCAGGCAGCAGCAGAGACCAGCAAACAGTCAATACAGCATAGCACTGTGCGAAACGTACAACGACTAAAAATAGAAAGGGAAACTTTTTTCAAGTGGCCGAGGTGCGGAAGCAGCTTCTGTGCTTGTTTCGTTTAAACGAAGATGGTTAAAAGCAAGTAAAGTTTCCAAACTGCATGGAGTCAATGTTCTGTTGTAAACTTCTAAAGAACAGCCGTAACGTTTTGTTCAGTTACAAACCACCTCCCTGCCCAGGGTGTGTGTTGCTCTGAGTTCCAGTCCAGAGGATTGTTTGCACACCCGGGCACGAGGACAAGTGTTTGTCTGTAAGGAAATGCAAGTTACACGCACAGAAACCTGCAGGAATTAGGACCCCTGCTTTGCCAGTCCTCAGGCCTTAGAGCAGCCAGGGGCAGTCTAGGTTCGTGAGGGGCCCCACGAGTGGCCCTCCGGCAGCTCAGTGAGGGGCAAGATGGTAGCAAGACTCTTCAAACGGCCCCCTCGCTGTGGGGGGGAGGGGGCGATTCCTCAGAGGAGATGCAGCGAGCTCAGGACTCCTGCCATCTCCCTCCAGAGCGGAGTGCAAGTGTCCAGAGCGGAGGATCAGGTCCAGGTGAGAAGACCCAGCTCAGCAGAGCAGAGATTCTCCAGCATGGGCAGGAAAGATGGACCCAGCGGAGGCAGCCAAAGGGGCCAGCGAGGGCCCAGGGGAGGGGCTGTCTGGCTGAGTGAGGAGCCAGCCGCAGGGGACCCGGCAGGAGGAGCTCTGCAGAGAGGAAGGGGTCCAAGAGCAGCGTTACCTCTTTTGACTTTGTCTGTGGTCCAGTTGCTCAGATACTCAGGCAGCACCTTGCCCATGTTTCCGTTCTCTGGGAACATCTGGATCACCTCCAGGCCCTTGGCGTGCGCTGTGGAGAGACCCAGAGAGCAGCCGGTTATGCCTCCTGGATTACACACCACCTGGGTATGCGCCCAGCACAATTCCCCGGCTGAGACGGAAGGGGCTCCAGTCCTTTCCTGCTGCAATTCCCTAGACGCGGGCCCCTCCGACCAGGAGGCTGGGCTGCCACAGCTCGCTTCACAGGGACGGTCCCTGGCTGGGGGGCCCAACACGCCCTGGATCCCCGCCTGGCACCAGTGCGTGCTGCGGAGCCCGAGGCTGGATGGATGCACAGAGATGATCGCCTCTGCCCACACCAGCCCTCTCAGGCCAGGTCACGGCCCCGCATGCCGAGGGGGTTACGGCCACGCCAAGGCCCGCTCCTCAGGAGGCCTGCAGCTGAAAACCCTCCTGAGCCTGCACACCTGCTGGGGAGCCCAAACCAGCAGGATGGGGCTTGAGCTCATGGGCCTTTGGGAGAACTCCCGAGAGGCTTCGTTTCAAGGCAGACTTACCCCTTCCACAAGGAGCACTGGTCCCCAAACACGCTCACCAGCCCGTGAGCCCAGACAGCAAGCCTCCCAGGGCAAGGCTCAGAACGGGGGGACACTCTGAAATACTCCAGGCCCTGTGCTGCTGGTCAGAGCCAAGGCGATATCAGGGGGGCCAGGGAGAGCCCGGCATGTCCACCCAGCCAGCCAAGAGCTGATGCCACACCCCACCACACCACTGCAGGCAGACATCACACATCCATTCTGCCGCCCAACTGCCTAGACCTGCAGGGACCCACAGCCAGCACCTCCCCTTCCCCAGACTAGGCCATCGGCTGGGGACAGCAGGGAAGGATACAATCTGAGGACACGTTTACACACTCAGTTCACGGCCTGCTGCACACACGCCCACGTGGGCCCTGCTGGTGCACACTGCAAGTTCCCTAGTGCACTCTCACCTACCTTACTCTGAAGCACAAGTAGGTCAAAGCGCACTAAGGAAGGATCATGTGGCAGCGGGGTGTGCAGGCAGGATAGTGAAGGGCAGATTCACACCCCAGCTTGCCACAAACTAAGCGTCCGTGTAGACAAGCCCTCGTGTTTTCCTAGCCTGGGTCTCACCAGAGCTTCTTGGCACGTGGCCTGGTCGATCCACTCACCCCTTCTTCCCAGAGCACAGGCCAGCTCACTGCCCAAGAACCCGCCGCCAATAATGGTGATGGATTTGACTTCTCTAGAAATCCTTTCTAGGGCTCGGAAGTCCTCGATCTGTAAAAAGATTCATTCCCGTGTCAGATGCCCTGGTCCGTGAGAAGAGCAGAGCGCAGTTTGGTAGCCCGGAGCCGCCAATTTGTGAACATGGGGAAATCAGGAAACCAAGTCTTTGGCCTAGGAGTCAGCTGTTCACGTTTCCCCTTCTGTATCTTCAGCAGCAACTCCTGAATTTCCAGAGCATCTGATCTGACCCACACAGAGCCCAGAGATCTTTCCCACTCCTGGGAGGAGCCGGCTCCTCATCCCAATTCCCCTCCAGATGAGGGGCCTAATCCCATTTAACTTTGCTCCAAAAGCAGCTCTGCGTGCTACCTGAACTAGCCGCAGTCAGCATGGCAGGACCGTGTGGGGCTGCCAATTGGGCGCTCACAGCTCAGCTCCTTTGAACAGAGCCCCAGCAGGCTCCCATGTGTATTTCCGAACACCGCATCAGGGAGACCAGCTGTCCACTAAGACCACCCTTCTGTCCTCAGCCAGTCCAGTAGCAGGCAGGGGCGGGACTGTGACAAATACGGCCATTGCTTTTGTACTGCCAGCTCCCCTGGAACTACAACTAGCATTTCACAGAGACAAAACTCAGGCACTGTCGCCAGCCTGTCATCAAACGCCTGCCTCCCACATCTTATTAGTATCTTCTCTGAGCTAGACAGGCACAATCTTTTCGATCTCCGTGGCTCTGAACATCTCCACTGCCTTGCCTGCCTCTCCAGGCTCCAGCGAGCTGGGTGTCGGGCTGGGGTGGGGGTTAAGGATGTTAAGTAACCGGTAATTGACCAAATGAACCGTCGATGCATTTTTGCATCGACTATTCGATTAGTCGATAGGGCTGCACTGCCCCCTTTGAAATGCTGCGGCGGTGTTTCAAATCGGCAGCACCGCATGGAGCCCGGGGCCTCTGTGCGACGCTGCTGTTTGAAATGCTGCGAGGAGCCCGACACTGGGCTCCCCGTGGCATTCGAAGCTGCAGCGTGGCATGGAGCAGCCCACCCCAGGCTCTATGCGGTGCTGCTGCTTTGAAGTACCCCCTTGCTGCCTCTATCTGATACATCTCTATTACTATTCTACATGCACCGCACTACATTTATCTATCTGATGGGGGGGGGGGGAAGGGAAGCTACTAGTCCACTATCTGATAAGCAAATACTTATCTAGTCCTTAACATCCCTAGTGGGGGGTGCCACTTTGCATACTTGCATGACAATGGCTTCCGCTATTGCAAAAGAAAAGAGTGGTTGGCAGGGAGCCAGTGTAAAAGCAGCACGTCTCTGCCAAGGGAAGCACCAGCACCGTACCTTTCAGGATATGCCCTTTCAGGCGGCCCTGGAGCACAGAAGCACAGACGTGCATAGAGGAAAGGCCGCCGCAAGAGGGGCTGGGCCGCTGCCCAAGGGACATGCTCCGCATCAGGGCTAAGGAGAGGCAAGCAGGAGTCAAGGAGGGGACTTTCCCCCCCCAGCCACATTCAGTGACAGCTAGAACTGAAGTTTCAGTGCACTGGCAACGTGGTGCTGTGGCTGGTGCACTCTCCCCAGACTTGGAGAAACTCTGCTCTAGCCTGCCGGGCCGGACAAGCTGGGGCAGAACGCTTCTGTGGTCCCTGCCCTGGACTGGGAACCCAGCCCTCAAAGAGCCTCTCGGGATTACCTTGCGGAACAGCGTCAGCTTCTGTAGCACCTCTTCCCCTGCTCTCTCGATGGCAGGAAGGTTCCTCGGGGAGCCACCTGATAACAGGACGAGACACGATCTAGCCACACCACAC